TTTTTTAAAAGATTTTATTTATTTATTTGACGGAGAGCACAAGTAGGCAGAGCGGCAGGCAGAGGGAGAGGGAGAAGCAGGCTCCCCACCGAGCAGGGAGCCCCATGTGGGGCTCAATCCCAGGAACCTGGGATCATGACCTGAGCCGAAGGCAGCTGCTTAACCGACTGAGCCACCCACTGTTGTCTTTTTTAAGTAAATAATTAAAAAAAGAATTTTTGAATGTTCTTTAATGTCTATTTTATTTTGAGCTTCTCAGAAAAACTGGAGAGTTTAGAAGTCATTATGTTTTTGTTTTGTTTTTTTTTTTTTTAAAGATTTTATCTATTTGAGAGAAAGAGAGAGCATGTGCAGGGGGGAGGGGGAGAGGGAGAAGGAGGAACAGACCCCCCACTGAGCAGGGATCCTGACATGGGGGCTTGATCCCAGGACCCTGGGATCCTGACCGGAGCCGAAGGCAGAGGCTTAGCCGACTGAGCCACCCAGGCGCCCCAAAAGTCATTATGTTTTGTGAGTGTATCTAACTTCAGTTTTGCAGAAAATCTGGTTGATCTGTGTTGAGAAATTAAAAAGCTTTTAATTTTCCATTTGGTATTTTGGGGCCAATATAATATGGCAACTTTATTCTTGTCTTATGAAAGGACAAGAAAGGGGGAAAAACCCAGTATTTGTTTGTAATTTTTGTGTTGAGTTAGAATCCTTTCATCAAGTTTGCATTTTTATGAAGAACATGGATTGATAATTGTAATTTTTCTTACTATTTCTTGTTTTTCAGTTGTCACCTTTGAAACTTTGTCTGATGACTATTCAAAGGTATGCTTGATAGCGTTGGTTGGTACTGGCTATCCTTACGAAGTCATGATAAGTATTTTTATGAGGTTCCCATTGTTACATTAAAAATGGCTGCATAGTAAAATAAAACCCATCATTTTCTATTAATACATTTTTAGTTTGACACATGTATGATACATAGAGTATCTTTTAAAACAACAGTGGTAGACTTTGGCCAGTCTAATATCAAAATGTTTTCTATATCACGTATGAAACCTTACCTATATCGTCAAGAATTGGTAGCAGCCATCTTTTTTAGACCATGTTAGATTGTAGATTTGTGATTTTTAATTATTTCATTTAAACTAGTGTTATTTGCCATGTTGCTTTCATATGTGAAAAGTAAAATAGCATAATTATATGATTAATTTTCTTAACTCTGCAAACAGATGGTTCTGGAATGGTTCTGAAACAGTTTGAAACACAGCTAAATATATATATATTTTTTCTTTTTTTGGTGCCATTAGTCCATCTTTCAACTCATGTCATTTTCAGTAGTTACAGAATTGTTAGTTAAGTGCCTTATTCAATTTAAAATAAATTTAAAAAATAAAAAATTTTACTGATTTTCTGAGCTGACATGGCTTTACATATTGTGTCAGTTCTGGAAACTATGGACTACAGTTTATTCTTTTGCCTGTAGTGGTCATTAATCATGTGTTGGGAGACATGTAATTTTATAATGTATTTTCTCTAGATATTGATAAATTTGCTGCTAATTACTATCTGCAGATTTTTAAGCTACTTTTGAAATACATTAATGTTAAATTGGTATGGGGGTTTCTCAAACCCTGAGTGGTAATTGTGAGATGATTATTATTATCATTTTTAAAGGTTTTACTTACTTATTTGACAGAGACACAGCAAGAGAGGGAACACAAGCAGGGGGAGTGGGAGAGGGAGAAGCAGGCTTCCCGCCAAGCAGGGAGCTCTATGCGGGGCTCCATTCCAGGACCCTGGGATCATGACCTGAGCCGAAGGCAGACGCTTAACGACTGAGCCACCCAGGCGCCCCAATTGTGAGATTATTAAAATGTGTTCTTAAGTAAAATAGGAAATCACTTGCTGGGGTTGCTGAGTAGAGGTCCACATTGTCAAATGCTGGTGCCAGATAAATAAAGGGCATTTGTTTTAAGTCTCTGTTAGAAGGCAAGAAAAACTATCTTGGGTTCAGGAAGGCATTAAGAAAGCAGGGGAGAGGTTTGATTCTTAGTCATGATAGAGAGTTGTGTGTGCACACATGCATGTTTACAGAGAGAAAGAGGCTGGGAGAGATCAGAGTGTTCTTGCTTTGTCAGTTCTAGTGGTGATGAAGTAAACGCTTTTCCTAGAAACCTCAGCCAACTCATGCTCTTGTTTCATTTTCAGATTGTTTTCTTACATAATGATAGATACATCGAATTCCACTCACAATCGGGTTTTTACTACAAAACCAGAATACCAAAGTTCGGGAGAGATTTCTCCTACCACTATCCTTCCTGTGACTTGTACTTTGTTGGCGCAAGGTATTGGGTCTGATCCTTTGTTTTCTCCTTTCCACCCCACAAACGGCTTCTGTTGTTGAAATCAAGGAGAGGATTTTTTTTTTTTTTTAAAGATTTTATTTATTTATTTGACAGAGACAGCGAGAGCAGGAACACAAGCAGGGGGAGTGGGAGAGGGAGAAGCAG